GTGTCTTGTGATTGTTTCAGAAGCCGAGCCTTCCTCACGGACAAATAACCCCCGACTCAATTTCGATTTAAAGCTTTCGTGACTGCAGGGATTCATATTCTTGGTTCTTTCGGTAAAGTCACGTAGAATGGAAATAATAAAATAATAAAAATAATACATAATAAAATAATTCTCACGACGTTTCGGCCACAACGCAAGCAGCCGTCTTCAGTCTGAATTTCAGACTCTGTCTTCTCGACAGACCTGTTCGTCACCTGAGGACGGCTGCTTGCGTTGTGGCCGAAACGTCGTGAGAATTATTTTTTTATGGTTTATTTGTATTATTTTATTATTTCCATTCTACGTGACTTTACCGAAAGAACCAAGAAGATGAGTCGGCCCATGTCTAGAGTCGGTGAACAGCAGCTTCGTGGGCTCATAAACATTCCTCCGGTATAAATAATCTCACACCGATTCAGTATTCAAATCGGTTTGCCAAAAGCACTGCTCTCATGCAGTCTGTTTATTTTCTTCATGTCCTGGGGTCTGCCTTCAATAGGTTGCCCTGGGTACACACACGCCTCTCTGCTTTGATTTCCCAGTGACGACCCTTCCAACTGGATGTCTCCCAATTGTTTCGCAAACTCGCACGAGACCTGTGTGTTTCGCTCGTATTGACCACGAGCTCAACTCTGGTGCCCTGAACATTAGGGTTCATTGAACGTTCGCTGTAGTTCACGGCGCGCAATTGGTCGATTTGTTATCACCACTGTGACGTCAGCAACATCTGAGACGGTTCGTGAAATGAAAACAGCGGTGGCGATGTTGCCGGAGAACAACGTGGTTTGAATCGGCAAATGATATTCTCCTCGCTACGACATACCGATCAGAAACAATAAGTAAGCAGGTGCACACAGAGAGGCGTGGAGAGAGCGAACGCTTAGAATAACCACTTCGATTATGTAATTGCACGCGTGTTAGAGGCACGACGTTGGCTGCAGAGAGAAACGAGTGGACTTGGGCAGGGACATCGCTGGAAAGGAACGACGGCCAAAGATGAAGACGAAAAACAGAAATCTGACGGTATCCCGTCCACAAGGCTAAAACCCTGATTAGCATCTGAGACCTGAAAACGAGATGTGATGCATTTAGAACGATTTGGTCAAATGTCAGTACAATATTAATTACGAGTCGGGATCTGTGACCACGAAGCCAAATAAGCACCTGGGGTCGGCCTATGCAGGAGTCGAACCTGTGTCTTTCTCAGCCGAGTGGTTCGGGGAGGCTGGCGTGCTGACCGCAGGGCGATGGGCGCGTGGGGGTGAGTGGGATGTTCGATTTTTTTTAACAGAAGCGACGCTACTGTCAGAGCAGAGGATTCTCTTAATGATTTAAACAGTTAGGCATTTACAGAAGCAGCACTGGTTATGAAAAAGGGAGAACACCGTCGCTAACTGAAGCTGTCGTCGCTGGGATCGGTGTGCAGAGCTCGCAGTCAGTAGGTTGTCAGTTGCGATCCTGGTTGGGGGTAGACTCAGAACAGCTTCATCACCATTGTTCACGAGTACAAGTCTGGGAAAATTACCATCACAACCACCTTTTCCTTCATCACCAGCACTAATATTACACCACGACCGACGGTATATCCATGACCACCTGTACTATACATAACACCACTAAAACCACATTTACTGCCGCTACCACCTTCAATGCCTAAAAAAACACCACCTTTACCCCCGTGAAAACCACCTTCATCAAAACGTCTACCGCTATTAAAATGACTACCCGTTCGACTAACGACGCAAACAATTAAGCAACCTTTACCGCCCCCAATAAAGTTTACTAAAACAAACAACTAAACCACCACACCACTTGTGCCACCTCCACCAAAATAAGCACCACCGTCTCCATGGAACTTTAACCGCGAGAATTTGTCGTGGTGGCCAACTGGCTTAGAGGCCACAGTGGCCAGCTAGCACCGTTGAGACCCTTTAACAAAAAACATCGTCACGTGAAATCATCCTCGCAGCGGCGGCTTTTTTGCTACAACAATGACGGTCAGCGCATCGCGCGCTTTCGGATGCGCTCCTGCGGCCGTCTGGAATGCTCCTCCTTCCGATATTAGGAAGCCACTGGAGCAATGCACTTTTAAATCTAGATTGAAAACTCTTTAAAACTGCTTTTTGTGTTACGTTTGTTATCCTTCCTCCGCACCTCCGATTAGCACGGTTGGCTACGTACGGTGCCACAGAGGTTCAACATACACACATCCTGAGTTAGAGTCCGTGTTTCAGCCGCCTTTGGTTAAACCGGGTTTCTCAAGCGTGGCGAGTTGACGGCATCAGTCCAGTCACCGGAACAGATACGTGCCACCGTGAGGGCCGACGGCGATAGCTTGCGGGGGGAGGCGTTCATCCAGCAGCGGACAGATCATGACTGCTGCGCATTAATGCTCAAGCCTTGGCACCGAGCTGTTGGGAACGTTTCCCATGCGTTGCTTTGCGATCTTTCGACGCGTTAACCGCAGCCAAAATTGGACGAGGTACAGCAACGCTTTATCAGACTCCAACGTTACCGCTCAAGTCAGGTGTGAAGCAAACGAGGGAGGAGGCCGAGTGGCTCGCAGATCGGGAGTGCTCGGGGCAAACACCACTAAGACCGTGGGGTCGAATCATGTCGCAGTTACCCAATCTCTTGATTAAACCGTGTTCCCAAGTATAGTGAGTTGATGGTGTCAGCCTAGTTACGAAAAAATTAACCCGTAAAAACAAAGTTCTTCACTATAAATCCTTTATATGCGTGGCGGCCAGAGTCCTCTCGTCCTCTGGCTTGAGATGGCTGCCACCTATGGATCAGATGATTGCCTGCCACCATTATACAATTGGTAATTAAATCTAAAAAAAAATTCCTAAAAAGTGTAAAATTTTGGAAGAAAAAAAATTCCCGAAAATACATTGTCAGCTTGATTGGATCACGGGAAGTGGGTTAAAAAACGACCGAAAGATTTGCACGGTCGTAAGCGCGCAAGCAAGCAAGTGAACTTAATGTACAGACCCCCATAGACTTACGCTGAACACTAAAGACTTAGATTAAGACCCACACAGACGTTCAGACCCACAGACTCACAAAGTAAAACATGTTAGGAATACTCGTGGATAAACGTGGCTCATGTAATGCTTTCCAACAATCGTTTGTACCTGAAAACATTTCATTAGCTGTATGGAAGCAGACGGGTAAGCTGGAAGGGCAAAACACGTTGCCATATTTTTTCAAGGGAATCGGCCAATTTCATTTCCATATTTCTGATGTTGAAGCTGTCAGAGCAAAACTCATTTGCATGCATTATTTGTAAATTAATTTTTACTTCCGGTTTTCGTCTCCAAGTATTGGACAATAACCCCTTGGACCAGCATGGCCAGTAATCAACATGAGTCCCTCATAGCAACGTAACTTTATACTACAATTTGGTTCACATTGGACCATCTTTGTGAGTTATCGTGTCCACCCCCACTTACACACAGCCAGACAAAAACCAGAAAGACACAAATGCTCTGAACCTTATAAGGAAAGAGTTAAAGATATTAACACACCCCCTCCTCCTCCTCCTCCCCATTTCCTGCCATTCGCTACCCAGCGATGAGTAAACAGGACTCTAGAACCGTGGAGAAGTGTCTTGCTAGCAGCTGCCAGCCACAGCATCTGTTACAGCCACTGTCAAATCTGGAGCTAAGCAGAGTAGACCTGTAGATGTGTCTTTCGTAAGGAATTGCCAACAGAATATTAATTGTGATTGTGGCTAATGATGCTGCTGTCATTGTAATCATAATAGAAACTATTTTAAGTATTTATTTTTATTTTTACTAGGTATGGCCCACTGAGCTACATAATTATTTTTCACAAGCAATCTGGCCACAAATGATAGATCATCAAAGTGGCTGATAACGTGCACATTTGTTGCAGCCAAATACTCTCAACGCACGATTCTACAATTGGAGGGAAAAACCGGAGGACCCGGAGAAAAATCCATGCAACCACGGGCGAGAGCATGCAAACTCCAAATATGCAACAGGTGTCAGGGCCGATATTGAATCCACGACCTCCTGTATACCAAGTGAGGTGATTAACATCTCCTAGCCACCGCGGCGGCCACTGATGATTATAACTGACCCCCAAGTCTGTTCTGCGCTCGATGTGGAAAATTACTATCCAAGAGGCCTGGCTAGGAGTGATGCATCTTATTAGGAAGCTACTGGAACTACGCACTTTTAAAAATAGATTGAAAACTAATTTCTGAAGAACTTCTTTCTGTGTTTAGTTTGTTGTCCTTGCCCCGCACCTCCGATTAGCACGGTTGGCTACGTACAGTGAAAAAGAAGTTTAACATACATACGTACGTATCACGCCATCTAGAGGACCATTCGAAACAGCCCATTGATGACTTTGCGTCAACTACGACCCAAATTTGACTGTCCAGATGTGTAACTATTCACGCTGATGAAATGTCGCAATTCAGGGTCACGAATCGATTTAACAATCGATTCCTTTACCATGGCCACGAGTCGCCGCGTGGGGTGGGTCACGAGAATCAACTGTTGAACTGAATCATGACCCCAAATGGTGACACCTCACCGAATCGCTGCTTGAGGGAGACTTTATTGCCAGCGTGAAATTACAAACTTGTGACGCAACTCAGCGAGATGTTTCTGCACCGGCCAAGCCGAATATTCCGGCAGCCCAAGCGGCGAAGCGACCTCGAAACAAACCTCAATCTGGAAAGGTAGAATGTGGAGGTGGCCAAGTGGCTCAAAGGTCAGAGACCCAGGGTGCATCCATCGCAGAGATGGAGGGATGAGATCAGCTACGTGTGCAGGAACGTAATGGATCATCGCACAACAACAGCGCGATGGAGGGACACTACATTCACCACAGCAAAGAATAAATTCCGGACGATGAACATCGGTCCAAAAACACGGCGGCTCACGAACTGCAGTGGCTGGGAGGGGTGGCGATGTGTTACTCACATTAGCAAAGGGTGTCACGTTGCGCACCTCTTCCAAGTACGCAGTTTTGTCCCTGGCGTGGAGCCACTCGTTTTCTGTAACCGACCCGTCGGTTGGCGGCGGCGGTGTTATTGGCGAACGGGAACAGGTACTGAACGTTACGGATTTCGTGAGCAGGAACTAGAGTGAGGGTGACATGATTTTTTTGCAGAATTATAATAGAGCTGTGTAAGTGGACTTTCATCCTCTGTAAACAATAACGGAACTCGAATGTTGGTGAGAATGGTGTGGCACAGTCGAGTTGACCTGCACTGTTACGCAGAACGTCAAACAACTATGCATCTATTGATTTCACATACGGTACTTAGAAATATACATAACTTAAAGTGTTTGTCTCACAATAAACATCTAACGCATTTCTGAACAAGTGGAACTAGAACAAGTTGTGTCAATAAGAAAGCGAACCAGAAATGAAAAAAAAACAAGAGATGGAACTGGAATGTAAAGGGGCCCTCTCATTATGAACAGAACAAATATAAGAATCAAATTTTGCGGCACACAGGCGAGAAAAAGAATGGGGAAATTTGAATTATTTATCATCGCGAAAACTAAATTTGCACTGCTCAGCGTTAAATCGAGATTGAAAACCAATTTCTTTCGGACCGATTTTTGAGTTTAGTTTGTTGTCCTTTCCTCCGCACCTCCGATTAGCACGGTTGGTTACGTACGGTGCCAAGTAAGTTAAACATCCTGAGTTAGAGTCCGGGTTTCAGCCCCCCGTGGTTATACCGGGTTTCTTAAGCGTGGCGAGATGACCGCCTCGGTCCAGTCACCGGAACCGATACGTGCAACTATTAGGGATGACGGCGATAGCTTGCGGGGGGAGGCGTTCATCCAGCAGCGGACAGATCATAGCTGCTACACGTTAATGCTCAAGGCTTGGCAGCAGCGCAAGCACGGATGGCAACGTACGGTGCGAAAAAAGTTCGACACACGCACATACACGAACTGTGCAATGCCAGAGCAGGAACAAATATCTTCCCTCTTGTGTTTCTCAAGTCATAAATCCTGGCCAACAGGTGTTTGGGGAACATCGGATTAAAGCAAAAAAAGTGTATCACACCGAGCTATTTAAAGAGTCGAAAATTGTGTTGTGGGAGACCCATCTGAAATACGAAGCCACCCCACACCAACCACGTCGCCCCCGCAAGGCTGCCAGGATTGCTACCATCGCGGTATGGTGGAGGGGGGTGGTGGCGACAGCAGAAAGGCGGCGCAACGAAATCAATCCACTGTTGTCTCGATACTGCGCGGTGGTTAAATGCTTCCCCTGCCGCACCTCCATCGCCTTCAGCAACCCAGCACTGATCCAGCAGTGGTTGGGTTGGGGGGGGGGTAAGAATAACACAAACGACCGGCAGGGCTGAGGAAGAGCCTGCTGTGAAGAAGAAGACGTGTGCGTGTGTGTGTGTGCACAGTCCGCGCGCTGATGATGCACGAGCGTGGTGGGGCACGCTTAGTTACAGGTGTCCCAAACTCACCACGCCGTGGCCCAGGTCTATGCCGCCGCGGGGGGGAGAGGTGCAATTAAGTGCAGAGATAACCACCCCCTCGTTGCTAGCCGCCACGCATCTCAGGAATGTTTAAGGATTCACCACCACCACTACTAACACCCTTCCCCTCCCCATAGGCTGATGGTTGGGATGATGAGATTAAGAGTACCCCCCCCCTCCCTTAAAGAACATGTCGATTCCAATATGGGACCAGACTTGATGCCAGATGATGGAGGGCGATGATGATGAGAACGTTTGTATGTTGATCTTCTTTGCACCGTACGTAGCCAACCGAACGTGATGGGAATGTAAGAGCGGTCCCTGATGGACATCTATTATGTGTCTCAAAGGGAGTAACTAAATCCAAGGAAGTGGTGATGGTGATGATGATGAGACTGTAAGAACAGCCTTTTAAACTTGTCAACTGTGTAACAATGGGGGATACAAAGCAGATAGATGGTGGTGGTGGTGATGATGAGTTTGAGTGGTCCTTGAAGGACGTGTGTGGATCTTGCAGGGTGAAGGAAGCTGCGGTTAGTGAGGTTGTGGTGGAATCAAAAGGCACTTACGATGACGACCTTGGGTCTATTAAAAAGTGAACGGCGGTCACTTTGATTAACACATCTTCATAACCGTATAGTAATTATCATTGTGGTGTGGGTGTTACGGCTGGTGCATTAGGCTTTTAAGTAGCAGTAATGCTAGCGTATGGGGATTAGCAACAGCAAATGGCAGAAGTGTGTCTGTCATCTGCTGTTCGTGTCAGCATTTGTGTCGCCGTCACGGCTGGTGTTACAGACAAGGTCTTCTTAACTCGTGTTACTGTGTCAAGGTTGGGGGCTAGTGGTTCTGTCACAGATAGGGCTAGCAAGTACTGGCGTCAATGACAAGTGTTGGTGGGGCTAGGTTTAGTGTTAGGGCGAGTGTTATGGGTAGGGCCTGGTGTTTGTGTTAACAACCAGTGGGGGGTTCGTGTCAGGGCTCGTGTCCCGTGTCAGGATCGCGTAAGTGCTATGCTGTGAATTCAGAACGTGGGCTCGTGTTTAATGCTCGTGTTACATAAGCATGTCCCGTACACCATCACTATTCAGGACACACAAAACACAACCCCCGCACAGCTGAGCATCACAGCACAGCACCATCGCAGCGCAGAACTGCAGTGACCACATTTGCTTCATCTCGACAGACGCGGAAAGCCAAGCAGCCCTGTGCCTGGCCACGTAATTCTGAAGGGAGATCACCGCCACGCTCTACAACACGCGTTAGAGGCGAGCTTGCAGAGGGCAATGGCAGTAGAGCAAACCCCGCTGCTGTGCTAGAACGACTACGTCAAACCCCACCACCACCAACACCACCAATACCACCAATACCACCACAGCTCAAAACCACGTGAACCGGCGCGGTGAAGTATGGACAATGGAAACCCGCGCGGCCCTCGCCCGGCAGTGAGAATTGACAACAACAGATACACGCGCGCACACACACACATCCCGACCCAAATCCTGTTTAAGAATACTCTACATGTAAACTTCTCACGTACGAATCTCTTGCAAGGCCGCCCACACACACACCGCACACACCGTACGAGACTGCGTGACCCCGGGGCCTAGCAGAGTAGCCCGCCTGCCCGCCTGCCCCACGCCGCCTTGAAGCCGACAGTGTTGGGCTTGTGGGTTGACCGGGTGGGCCGGTGGGTGGTAGGGTGGGTGGGGTGTCGTAGATGCGGTGAAACAATGTTGTGTCTGATGATGATGATGTGCCGTCGCCGTCGTCTTTGTCGGTGGTGGTGTTTGTTGTGAGGAGAATCACTCACGGCAATGAGCTTATTCATTGAAGACGTCCAGGCGGGCGGACGGAGAGCGGGGCGGCGGCGGCGACAACGGAGGAGGGAGAGAGAGGAAGGAGGAGGGGGCGAGGGGGCGGGGCCACGGCGATTGCGTCACACCCCCCACCGGAACCGGAAGTCGCGTGCCGGTGGTTGGTCGAGCGGAGGGCGGGCAATAGGAACAAATACCGGAACCGGAAGTTGCGTAACCACGTATGTGTATGAAACAGAATTATTTATTTGTACTGACTGGAGGAATCTCCATAGCGCTCGGCCGCACGCCGATCGGAGTCTTTATTTAGATCGTAGGAATTCTATTAGCGAAAAAGCTCCCCCCCCAGAGATATATCCAGTACCGGATCCGGAAGTTCGCATGCCGGTAGTGGGAGGGGCAAAAAAAAAAACCGAACAAATACCGGAACCGGAAGTCGCGTGCTGTGCGAGAGAGTGGGGGCGGTGCGAGAGATCGACAGACCGGATTCGGAAATGACGTCACAGAGAAGGGGGGGGGGGTTTAAAAACCGGAAACACGTGGAGGTGGGTGTGAGTAACCGGATGTAGGAAGCATGTGGGTGGAAGTGGGCACGGGCGGTCTGGAAGCTCCCACGTTGATCTTGATCTTGTGGGGTTGGTGGGTTGCTGAAGCACGCAGTGTGGGCAAAGAAAATTCTAAACCGTATCAGCCGGAACTGGAAAATATTCTCCCCGCCCGATGTGGCGGTGGCGGTGGTGGTGGTGGTGGGGGGAGATGTTGGAAAGCCACCGGGAAATATTTCACTTAAAAATAATCGACCGCTGTTTAGTCCTCCCTACGTTTTACACGCCGTGAGGTATATATGGCCATACTCAAGCTGGTCAAAGCTGGTTGGTGAATAGGGGAGTACGGATTTTTTTCTAGATTTGAAGCTTTCGTGACTGCAAGGATTCATACTCTTAGTTCTTTCGGTAAAGTCACGTAGGTAAAAAAATGAAATTAAAATGAATAAAAAATAAAACAATAAAAATCACTACGTTTCGGAGGCAACACAAGTCTCCGTCATCAGGTGGGAGGGACCGTCACAGCCAGATTTGCTGCAAATCGTGATTTTTATTGTTTTATTTTTATTAATTTCTAATTTCATTTTTTTATCTACGTGACTTTACCGAAAAAAACTAAGAGTATAGTACGGATTTTGTTGGAATACCCTCTCGTGGCCACACCTATCTTTTGCGCATAGCGGCCCCCCTATCCAGAATCAGAATATTCATATTGGAGAAATCCGATGAGCTAAAAATATATTTTCGTGAAATACCTTGCTTAGGCTGCCGATATTTTTTTTACTTAAACCACAACACCTACAAACGTAAATACAGAAAACTGAAACCCGCATCAAGGATATGTATACATATTCCTAGGTTTTTTCGGTAAACTCACGTAGGTAAAAAATTAAAATTAATAAAAAATAAAATAAAAATCCTTGCAGTCACAAAAGCTTCAAATCTAGAATTAAATATATCGCCACAGCTCTTTGTCGATCCACTGCTAGATTACTTCACCACCTGATCAATGCATGTCGGTGAAACACCCAGGACCGATCTCAATTTCACTCCACTGATGTTGGCCGTGTGACCAGGAACCGAAATGAAGTGGCCGGGTTCGAAGCACAGCCACCAAACCGAAGCTCATTTGCCGTTCGAAAACAACATCGATTATTACCCGCACAATCCAATACATACTGCCACGCGTGTGTTCCTGATGAATCGCGAGTACAATCGATGGATCGTGAGCACGTGTT